CCAAGAGCCGAACTCACAGGCCTCTTGAGCCTTTCTGTCTAGCTCCAGATTCTATGACCTAAATACCCAGGGGCTGCTTGCTGAGGAAAGAGGTACAGGAGGTGGTTTGGGAGTATTAACTTCCTATCAGTTTTTTTTGTTTGTTTTTCGTCAGCAGAATCTATACACACCCCTCTCTCCCTTTCTTTGCTTTTCTTCTATTTATTTTTTTGAGTCTGAGTCTCACTCTGTTGCCCTTGCTAGAGTGCAGTGGCATGCTCACAGCTACTGCAGCCTCGACCTGCTAGGCTTAGATGATCCTTCCACCTAAGCGTTCCTAATACCTGGAACCAGAGGTGCCCACCACCATGCCTGGCTAGTTTTTTTATTTATTGTAGAGACGGGATCTTGCCAAGTTGCTCAGGATAGTCTCGAACCTCTGGGCTCAGGCAGTCCTCGCCTCGGCCTCCCAAAGTGTTGGGATTACAGGATCCACTGCACCTGGCCTATACACACTCATTTCTTAGCTAGGCATGTATCTTATTTCCTACTATGGGGAGCAATTCCAATTAATCCAAATAAAGGAATTTTTCCTCAGTTGAGATTAGATTTTTATCGTAAGGAACAGAAGTATAATAGTTATTCTTTTTATATAAGTTTTTTGTTTTCCTTTGCTTTAGATATCTTAATTCTTGAGTCACTAGCACAATGCAGTCAGTATCAAAGGACAACATGTTGGGTAAAAATTTGTCCCTTATTAATTTCAATACAAATATTATAGATAAAGGCTACCTAACATACTACTCTTTTTGCTTTTCAGTAATACTGCTTGGCCAGGCACGGTGACTCAGCCTGTAATCCCAGCACTTTGGGAGTCCAAGGCAAGAGGATTGCCTGAGCTTAGGGGTTCAAGACCAGCCTGGGCCACTTGGTGAGACCTCGTCTCTACATTAAAATAAAACAACTAGCCGGGTGTAATGGTGTGTGTCCATAGTTCTAGCTATTTGGAAGGCTGGGGCGGAACGATCACCTGAGCCCAGCAGGTCGAGGCTGTGGTGGCCATGAGTGTGCTGCTACACTCCAGCCTGGGTAACAAGAGACTCCAACTCAAATGGAAAATGGGTTTCCTGCTGCATGCAGATCATGATATATCCCCTTTGGTGGATAATCATGTAAAATGTTAATGTAATGATCCATCTACAGTTGCTCAGTCCTTAATAGCTCTTAGGGTGCTCTGTATATTAAACTAGGCATGTTGTACAAATTGGGTCACATTTCTCACACTTAAGATCCATGTGCTCGTAAAAAGTTAAGTACAATTGTGTGTGTACATTTTTAAATGAAGTTTGTCCAGACTTGTATCATATTTTCAAAATGAGTCTATGACAACAGGAAATATTTAAGAGCCACTGAATTAAAACTTTACAAAATTGCTGGGTTGGAAGAGACTTTTGAAGCCATTACATACAATTTCCAATATAATTGCCAGCAGAAAGGGAAAACATCCATAATAGGTCTGTGCTATGCTCACCTACTATACCACAACAGGGGATTTTTCTCCCCAAGACCCATCCATATTCCTCATGTGGTGAATGCAGAAACTATTCTAAATTTTTAGTGAATTTAATATGAACTGAAATACAGATGAAAAGGATTCAACCTCAGAATAAAAGTTTCCAGTTAAAAAGTACAAAGAATTTGAACAAATGTCCAGAGAGAATAAATAGGCAATGCACAAAAGGAAAAGGGATTTCTAACTTATACTTTTAAATCTTAGCTATTTATCAGAAGAGTTCCTCTTCTTTCTGCATGGAATTCTATCACTCTCAGCTCCCACCCACCCAATGTGCATGCTTGGTCTCTGTTTAAATGTCACTTCTCAGGACCCCCATCTGAACTAATCTCCATTTTCCATTTTTTTGTTCATATCCTAATTTGTCATCATACATTTGTATATTTCTTTATTGATTTCCTAGTCAACTGTTCTGTGTACCCTCCTATGTGCCCACCAAGGCAGGAATTTCCTGTGCCTTCTTTCCAGCACGGTGCCTGCACAGGATTTCTCCTTGGTAAATTTTATCTATTAAACATCTCTAAAATCCTTCACATTCTTCAGTTTCCACCTTACTTCCTAGATTTGTCTCATTCCTTCTCATCTTGTTTCCAAGCGTCTGTCCCCACCATTCATTTTCCAGGTAGTGTCTAAATCTAGACTGTTCTGTTAAAAAGCAAAACAGAGCCGGGCTCGGTGGCTCAGCCTGTAATCCCGCGCCTTGGGAGGCTGAGGTGAGTGGATTGCCTGAGCCTGCGGGTTCGAGGCTCGCCTGGGCAACTTGGCAAGACCTCATCTCTACTATAAATCAAAAAATTAGCTGGACGTGATAGCGCACGCGTGTAGTTCCAGCTACTCAGAAGGCTGAGGCGGAAGGATCGCTGGAGCCCAGCAGGTCAAGGCTGCAGTGGCCAGGAGCGGCCACTGCACTCCAGTCTGGGCAACAGAGTGAGACTCCAACTCAAAAAAAAAAAAAAAGCAAAACAGATCACACCACTTACCATTTTAAAACAGGTGACTTTCCATTGGCCTTAGAATACAATTCAAAACACCAAACCAGGCATTCAAGACTTGTAAGGACTTTCCCCCATTGATCTCAGACTGTGCTGCAGTTGCACAACACAATCCCTGGCTCAGGTCTTCTGCACACATTGTTCCCACACCAGGTAGGAACTGGTGTCATGACTGATCAATAATTAACACTTACCTTGCCTGAGTTACAAACCACTTAATTGAAGAAGGCAAACATAAAACTACTCAAGTGCAACAAATACATTCAAGTAAAATAAGTGATATATGCATGTCGATAATGTAAATTACCAAGAGGATTTTAAGAAACAGTTCATGCTTATAAAGCATTTAAAATCATTTTTGTAAAGAGTGCTCTTTCTGAAAAGCCGGTTCTATGGAATATTTTCTTCAGAATATGGTTTGATTTCTTTTAAATAAGTTTTTGGTGTCTTTCTCATTTTCCTCCAAACACAACTGGATTTTGAACCCTCAGAGTCCTCATTCTGTGATGGTAAGAATAAGCAAGGAGGTGTGCGGTTGGCAACGTTTTTACTATGGACTCTCAAACAAATATACAAAAGTAAAGACTAATAATAAAATAGACTCCCATGTGCCTATTACCTAGATTCAACAATTACTAATCATGGACAGTTTTTCTCTGTATCCCCACCTACTACTTCTTGTGAATAATTTCCAAACAAATGCCAGCTTCAATCTAAAACTTAAATCCTTTATTTTAAAGTAGGCACACCAGGCGTGGTGGCTCACGCCTATAATCTCAGCACTTTGGGAGGCTGAGGTAAGAGAATTGCCTGAGCCCTTGAGTTGAAGACCAGCCCAGACAACTTGGCGGAGACCTCATCTCTACAATAAATAAAATTGGCCAGGCATAGTGAAAAAAAAAAAGCCAGGCATGGTGGTGCATGCCTGTAGTCTCAGCTACTTGGAAAGCTGAGGCGGATGGACTGTCTGAGCCCAGCAGGTTGAGGCTGTGGTGGCCATGAGCGTGCTACTGCACTCCATCCTGGATGACAGAGTAAGATTCAAACTCAAAAAGAAAAACATAACTACAAGTCTATCACACCTTAAATAAATACAAACTTCTAGTCAATGTTCAGATGTCCCCTATTGTCTCAAAATATTTACCAGTTTGAATCAAGAGCCATATATATCCCATGCATTGTGAATTTTTGATAAAGCTCCTAAGTTTCATTTCATTGAAAAGTGTCACCTCAGCCTTTTTGGGGGGAACTATTCTGAGGAAGGACTTGTTCATTTGTCCTTGTAAAGTTTCTTAGTCTACATCATCATGTTCAGTTAGTGTGTTCCTCTTCCCTGTAATTCCAAAGTTGTCCCTAATAAGTAGATTCTGAAGACAATTTTCCTCTTTTTACAAATAATTGTACATAAAATGTCAACCATACACAAAAGTAGAGATAAAAATGTAATGAAACTCCATGTACACATCACCAGCTTCATTAATTACTAAATCATGGCCCATGTTTTTTGTTTGTGTTTGTTTTGTTTTTTTGAGTTGGGAGTCTCACTCTGTCACCCAGACTGGAGTGCAGTGGCCGCTTCCGGCCATCGCAACCTCGACCTGTTGGGCTCCAGCTATCCTTCGGCCTCAGCCTTCCAAGGAGCTGGAACTACAGGCACGGACTACCACGCCCGGCTAATTTTTTGATTTATTGTAGAGATGAGGTCTCTCCAGGTTGCCCAGGTGGGTCTTGAACCCGCAGCCTCAGGCAATCCACTCACCTCAACCTCCCAAAGGCACAGGATTACAGGCTGAGCCACTAAGTCTGGGTTATGGCCCATGTTTCGTTGTCCACTTAGATTAGTATGAAACATTCAGGGAATCAGATATCATCTGCAAATATTTTTGTCTCTAAAAATTATCTTTTTTATGATTCAGTATGTACTTATTTCGATTTTCAGGCAACTTACAGAGATTTTTCAGAATAACAACATCCTAATATATATATATTTTTAAACTTCCTGCTACTGAATACTAATTAGGCCATCCTTTGACAAAATTATGTATTCAACGTTTAATCAGTATAACTGAACTTATCTCTACCCCTTCTATGTTGAGGTATTACAATTTCATTAACTGAATATATGTATTTATTTTAAGTGAGAGTCTTACTCTGTCACCCAGGCTGGTCTGTCACTCAGCCTGCTGGGCTTAGGCAATCTTGCTTTAGGCTTCCAAGTAGCTAGAACTACAGCCGCATGCCACCACCCCTGGCTAATTTTTTTATTTAATGTAGAGATGAGGTCTGGCCAAGTTGCCCAGGCTGGTCTTGAGCTCCTGGGCTCAAGCAATCCTGCCTCAGGATTCTAAAGTACTGGGATTACAGGCATGTACCACCACTGTGCCTGGCTGAGTGTGCTTTTTGATCAAATAAATCAGATGGTGGTTATTTTTTCTTTCACTTTGTGATGATTCCATTGATTGAGAAAGATTTAAATATTGTACACACACACACATATATACACACGTGTAATAACTGTCATACCTCTAACTCAATGCTGAGAGTTGTCTTGGGTCAACGTGACTGCACAAGAAAGAATCCTCTGCATACCAGGAAAAGTTTTTAAAATGATAAGTCTTTATTATTACATTGTATCTACACATTTTTTGGTCTCTTTAAGAGAAGCAGCTATTCTGAGCCTTTATTCTTTTATATCCAATATTGTAAAGAAGGATTTTTTTTTTAAAGAGATGAGTTCTCCAAAGTTGCCCAGGCTGGTCTTGAACCCCCGGGGCTCAGGCAATCCTTTCACCTCGGCTTCCCAAAGTATCCAGTCTCTTTAACTTAAAAAGTGTCTTTTAAAAATACAAGTCCGGGCGCGGTGTCTCATGCTTGTAATTCTAGCACTTTGAGAGGCCCAGGCAGTAGGATAGCTTGAGACTGGCTTTGGCAACATAGCAGGCCCTGCCTACGCAATTTGCCGTGCGTAGAGTCGCGCGCGCACTTGTAGTCCTGAGGAAGGATCGCCTGAACCCAGGAGGTGTGGATGCTGCGGTGAGCCGTAATGGTGCCACTGCACTCAAGCCTGGGCGACAGAGACCCAGACTTTAAAAAAGTGTGATTACAACAAAATTTGTTTCCTTGAAATATTCCATTTCTGCTCATATTAAACCCTAATTGATGGTTATGTATAAACTTTAGGAGTTGTGTTTTTAAATGTTTTGATTATGCAAAATACATGAGTCCATGGTCAAATGCACAGAACAAGGTATTGTATACCCACAGGTTTCCATTCTAGAGTCGGTCTTTAGGAGATTTGTTTTAAACTTGATTTCTCTCCCAAGCTGCAGTACAGCCTCCCTTTCCCCTCCCCCGGCTGCTACTCTGGACTTTCCCCAGGTCGCGCTTTTGCTCGAGCTCCTTTGAGAACTGTCTTCCTCTTCCTCGTTGCTTTTCTTCTCTCCTTCCCCCATTTCCTGCCTTGGCCGACTGCGCGGGCCGCACCTGCAGGCACGCGTTTCCCATTGGTGACATCTTGGCGGGCCCGGCGGTGGCACTTCCTCCTCTGCACCCCGTGACCCACGTCCGCCTGCTGGCCTCGGATCACGCGGCCTTCGCTTCCCGGACTCCGGACACCGCGCCGCCTAGGTCCCGACGGCCCGACCCCAGCGGTGGTGAGCCGCCGCGCTGGGGCCTCCTGGACCCCAGGCCCTGGCACCTCTACCCCCGGCCGCTCTGCTTCCCGCCTCCCCAGCCCGCCCTCGGTCCCGCGAGCCGGCCTTGGCTACTCTTCGCCTCCTGACCCGGGAAGAACCTAGGCCCGGGAACTCCTCTTTCCTCCTCCCCACCCCCTGCCTTGCAGCTCCCCTTCCCCCTTCCTGCTCTCCCTACCCCGCCCGCGGGTCCGGGGAGAACTTCCGCCCAGGCAACTCTAATCCTGCAGTCCCAGGAGTTCACTCCTACCCCTTGGCCCGCCTTAGCGTCCCGAGAAGCCGGCGAGGCAACTCTTCTCTCCCCCTGCCCCTGCTGGGGAAGGCACTCTCCCGGTTTCAGGAACTCCCCCTACCCGGGCCCGGGAACCCTTTCTTCCTCCTCCCTCTCCCCCCACCCCAGCTCGCTCCGCCCCCGCCCGGAAGCTCCCGCCCGAGCCCGCGCAGGCCCCGGGCCGACCTTCCTGCCCGGCCGGGCGGTCCCGAGGCAGTCGGATTGCCAGGTGGAGGCCGCGGGAACGCCGTCACCTTGTCACTGGACCTTAGCGGTGCTTCCCGCCAAAACACGCACAGCCGCCCCCTCCGAGGTTTCCAGCTTCGCAGGAAGCATTTACTTCTGGCCACTTGAATTTGTTTCAGGTTAGGAACAAAAAGAAGATGCACCTGGACTTTCCCCGGAGCCCTCTTCGTTATTAAGCTTCGGGTGGAATTTGGGCGCCTTTGGCTGTAAGCTGCGCTTGCTTGATAGAAGTAGAAATCAGTCCTGCTGTCCTCTGTGGTAAGTCTTAGAACAAAAAGTCCACGGCTTAATCCTGAGGCCGCGGCTCCCTTGGACTTTGACTTAAGAGAGGAACTATCTGAGTAATTAAGGCTCTCAGGCAACCTCTCCATACGGGCTCCCCAGCTATCTTGAGGTTAAATTTCATCCCCAAAGTAGTGGGAGGGAGTGGGTTTCTAGCGAAAGCGCTCCTTGTTCTCCTGGGAACCCAAAACACATAAAGGAGGTGAAGCCTGGGTCCCTCCCCAACTCCTGTCCTGAACAAAAGAAAAGGAGGTGGGTGGTGCTTATACTGTCCTGTTTACCCCGTCAGAGTACTCTAGGCGCACCCTGTTTATCTTGATTAAGTCTGCCTGAAGGCAAGCGTAAATCCCGTCTAACCAGTCCCACTTAGCCGCGGTGAAGAGCATATTCTAGAGAGCTTTTTAAAAGAAATGTGTAATCTTTGCTCCTCCCAGATCTATTGTTTTAAAGTCTATATTTTTACAAATTACCTGAGTGGTCCATATACACACTCTGAGAACCTCCGACCTAGAATTTGGTCACCTGCAGGAGTTGAGCGCTGTGCCCCTAGCTGTTTGCTCAGCAGTTTCAAGGTGCTACCGGCAGTGAGACCCGGCTCTGTTAGCATCCATTGGACTTGACCACACGCTCATGGTGTCTTGTCCAGTAGGATAAAGTGAATCTTTTTGCCGGCTTGTGCATGTTCCCAGATACTGGTCTGCAGATCACACTGAAAGGAGCTTGGAGCTGGGATAAGCAAGGGCAGAAGGGATCAGGTCATTAATATGACTAAGCACTACTACTTAGATTTCACTGTTTACTGGGGGTGGGGGGGGGTATGAATTCTTGAAGTCTCTTGAAAGTCTGGTTCCAGAATATTTGAAGTTGTTGTAAGTAGTAACCAGAGTTTGTAAGACAAGACAGATTCAGCAAAATTAAGTGATTTTTTTTTTTTTTTTCCCAAAACTGAGGACGAAGTTTAGTTGTCAGAATTCCATCGGCCTCAGCCCAGGTTCTAGTCCTCTGGGGTGAGTGTTATATCATATGGATGTTGATGTTGGTAGTAATTATCAACAGTTATTCAGTAAAACTGGGAGTCTATTGGGTGTGGCTCCACACTGCCCCCAGAGGGATTCTTATAAATCAAGTTAAACAATTCCCTTCCTGGGGAAAGAGCTGGCTTCTGCTCAAGCTTCCCCCATCTCCAACTCCCTCCCACTCTGCCCCTCCCTTGATGTTGAAGTCTCATCAAGACACAAAGGGCGTTTCTCTTGTTCTCTGTATTATCCTATGAAAAGATAAACCTAGATGCTTTTAGGGCGGGCACGGTGTGAGAATTATATCTATTCTTGGTCTATAAAGGATTTTCCTTCTGCCTCCAGTACTTAATAACCTGGACGTGTTAATAGCTCAAAGCCAGCATGTCCCCCTGGCTACTCTGCTGAGTGTGGGACACACTCTTATGCCACATCATTCTGTTTTTTAGGACAATTCGCTTTCCAGAAGTGTGCCCCATTGAAGGTATCTGCAACTGTTTTAAGGTGAGCTATCTTAAGAAAAGTCATTTTCAGTTGTGGTATGTGATTTGTTATAATGGGACAAATTTTCTTTGCATCCTGGAGTAAAATTTCATCACCAACTTTAACCTTGAGCAGGACTCTACAGGGCCTTTTCAGCCGTGTTTTAGTTATTGAAAAGTTTTAGGACTTAGAAGAAAAGAGAAAACTAAAATTTCTAGAGTTAAAATAGGCAATAAATGTTTTAATTGTGAACATGTGTTTTGGAAAAAAATGTGTTCTTTACCATACCTTCAGAGAGGAAATAATTTGGAAATAATTTTGTTTCTGAAACACTTCCTGACACATTTATTACATGTAGATATTAGCAGGCATTTTAAATAATTCTTTTATGAAATGTCTGTTTTTTCATGCCCTGCATGTCTTTTACAGCCTAGCTCGGCTGTTGTATTCTTGAAGGTGTTGACCTCACATGGCCAGCAGTTAATCCTTGGCTAATCTTGGGCTAGCTGGGTCGTGCCTGTGATGAAGGTGGGGGTCACAGTGATCCACAGAAGAGGCATATTTTCTCCCCAATAGGTTCCTAGTTCAGGTTTGAAGACACCTTTTAAACAAAACACCTCAAAAGTGATGTGGAGTTAGAGCCACAAGACAATTTGGACAATGGGAAAACCTTTTAGAAAGATAGCGTGTCTGAACTGAGATCTTAAGGATTAGCAGATTTAACTAGACAGGAGATTGAACAGAGTATATTTGGAGAGAGAATTACCATGAGCATCAACCATGTGCGTCATCCCTGAGAACAGAGAGCCTCGCACATTCTAGGAGAAAAAGAAAGGGAAGTGATATAAACTTGATAGGATAGTGTTTAGCGTAAAGTTTCAAGGCCTGAGGACCCCATTTGCCCCATGTTCTTTGTTCTGAGGCCAGTGGGAAGCCACTGAGGACTTGGAAGCAGGACAGTGGCATAAGGTTTTTTTTGTTTTTTTGAGTCAGATTCTTACTCTCATCCAGGCTGGAACTCATGTATGTTTTAAAAGAACACTTGAGCTGTAGATTGGATTGTAATAAGGGCTTACTATTATTCATTAGAAATAAGAACATTAAAAATGAGAAGTGTAGCCTGTAATAAGCTATTTGGACATAGTGAAATTAGAAAGGAATATGAGAAGTATGAAAGGTGCAGAAATGACAATTTGATAATTCACGTTGCAAAGAAAAGAATTACTGAGATTATATGCTACCATTCAATGTATTGAGGAAGTCAAGAGATAATAGGTTTTAGGGATGAGGATCCTGTGGGAAATGGGATGCACCCAAGAAAGTTGATGAGTTAATTGGATTTGAGGGCTTGGGATAAGTTCAGGGATTTCTTCATTTCTTTCTATAGTCTGGGTGCAGGTAAGGCCATTTATGCTGAAAAAAGGATGTAATAGAAGAGAAAATCCTGAGTTCATTTGTGGTATAGAAGAGGAGCTGTGAAGTAGAGTTAAATATGCCAGTCTGGGCCTCAGGGAGCTAAAGGCTGGAGACATCGTTATCCTGAGCCCAGAGATGATCATGGAGACCCAGGGCAAACAGGTGGAGCCAGAGAGTTGCATCACAGAAGTGAAAGTGGGAAGGGGATTTTCAGAAAGGAATGGTCAGATCTTGTGAGAACAAGTAAGATGAAGATATAAAAATATTTGCTCTTTTTCTTGCCATAAATGTTATCAGTCCCGCAGTATCATACCCTTCACTGGTGTGGAGTTGAGGTGACAGTAAATGCTCTCTGACAAGATTTTATTGAGCAAATCAAGTAACTGGAGGCAAAGTTGGCATGGGGAAGGCATATGTTACATGATAGATTAGAATTGAGCATATTTAATTGCCAAGGAGACAGTGTTCAATGGAGAGAGAAATGATGATAAGGAATGTCCCTAGGGTGGATGAGGCTAGATCCTGAGCAGAGCTATAGATAATCTCAGCAGTAAGGAGAGGCCATTCGTTGTTCTTGGACTGACTTTCTTTCACGAAGTCTCCATTCCTCTTGGAAGTGGAAGGTGATCAACTGAAAGTACGAGGAAATGAGGAGATGTAAGGCTACCTTTTGTACATCTGAAGGACTTTGGGCTAGTGAGGAGCTGGCGTAGGACTGTGGTGGTATTGAGGGCCTGATGTAAGATGTGTTAACCCTGAATTTCAGCAGTAGTTCCTGAGGGCAGCTTTAGCCTTCAGGGAATATTTGAAACTGGAGACATTTGGTTGTCACAACTGGGATATGGGGTGTTACTGGCATCTAGTGGGTAGAGACCAGGGATGCAGCTAAACATCCTATAATGCGTGGGTCTGTCCCCCACAACAGTGAACTGTCAGTAGTCCTGAGGCTGAGAAAAAGACACTAGTCTACAGGCACCACTTTTCTTATCTTTGTGTAACTGAGCCGCTCAGTACAGCCACGAACAGTCAGGTATTTGGTCTTCCAGGACTTTGTTTTTTTTACTTACTGAGCCTGTACAATAGAGGGAAGAAGTGCATGTATATAAATTCCATATGCAGGTATTTTGTTGTTGTTTTTGAGTTGGAGTCTCACTTTGATGCCTAGGCTGGAGTACAGTGGCATGATCATGGTCACGGTAGCCTCAACCTGCTGGACTCAGGCGATCCTTCCACCTCAGCCTTCCAAATAGCTGGAACTACAGGCACACGCCACCACACCCAGCTAATCTTTTAATTTACTGTAGAGATGAGGTCTCACCAAGTTGGCTGAGCGGGTCTTGAATCTGTGAGCTCAGGCAATCCACTCACCTCAGCCTCCTAAAGTGCTGGGATTACAGGCTGAGCCACTGAGCCCGGCTTAGGAATTTTTAAAAATAAGATATGGGAAAGCAGGGCCCAGTAAGTGCCTGTGCTAGTTTCAGGAATGGAGAACAGAAAGTATGTTTCTTTTACTCTTTTCAAAAAGCTTTTTTTTTTTTTTTTTTTTTTTTTGAGTTGAAGTCTTACTTGGTCACCCAGGCTGGGATGCAATGGCACAATCACAATTCTCTGAAGCCTTTCACTCTTGGGCTCAGGCAGTCCTTCCACCTCAGCCTCCTAAGAGCTGGGACTACAGGTGTGTGCCATCATGCTTGGCTAATTTTTTTGTGTGTGTTTTGTGTGGAGATGAGTTCTTGCTATACTGCCCAGGCTGGTCTCAAACTCTTGGGTTCAAGCAATACTCATGACTTAGCCTCCCAGAGTGCTAAGATTATAGGCGTGAGCCACTGCACTCAACCTCACTTTTTAAAATTTGTAAGTTGGTAGCTTCTGTGAACACTCCATTGTGTTCTCAGACCAAAGTACAGTTAGAATATTGGAGAATACTGGGCATGAATAGAATTATCTATGCCCTATTCTTTGCCCTTCAGGATTATTTTATAAAAATTTGTTCAGGCGAGGCGTAGTGGTTCACACCTGTTATCCCAGCACCTTGAAAGGTCAAGGTGGGAAGATTGCTTGAGGCCAGGAGTTCGATACCAGTCTGAGCAACATAGCAAGACTTCATCTTTACAAAAAATATAAAAATGAGCCGGGCATGGTGGTAAGCTCTGTAGTGCCATCTAAGTTTGTTCAGGCTGGGCATATTGGCTCATGCCTGTATGTAATCCCAGCACTTCGGGAGGCTGAGGTGAGACAGGGGTTCAAGACCAGCTTGGGCAACTTTGTGAGACCTCATCTCTGTATAATAAATCAAAAAATTAGTCGGATGTGGTGGTATGCGTCTGTCATTCCAGCTCTACTTGGAAGGCTGAGGTGGAAGGATCACCTGAGCCCAGCAGGTCAGGCTGTGGTGGCCATGAATGTGCCACTGCACTCCAGCCTGGATGACAGAGTCTGACCCTCCCCCCCCAAAAAAACTCAATATATTTGCACAATTGTTATTGATATATTTGTGCATGGAAAGACATGAGCAATACAGATTAACTAATTCCCTTTTGACTCCTCCCAGAGCCTTTTCTATTCCATTCTCATCAGCAAGGGTGCCTTCTTTTAGCTAGGCTGTATGCTTTCAATTGCATCCCAAATCATAATACATGAATAAATTTCCAATATTACGGTTAGCACACGAATCTGTTTCATTTGTGCTATTACACTATTACAGGGGGATATGTCTTTTTGTGATCTGGTATGGACACAGATGAGTGGAACCACAGTGTTGAACCATTGGATTCCTGTGTACTTGATGAGCTCATTTTGAATGTCATCTTTTGCATTGGTTGTATTAAAGGTGTCTTTGGCCTATACTATATTTGAATTGGTTCAAGCTATATATAATATATTGCTATCTCTTGGGTCAGCTGCTCCTCTTTTTCAACTGCCCTTCCATGTGCTTGGCTTTCACTCCTTGAGTATGGATTCCAGGTACCATGTGTTACCTTGTGGAAAGGCATCTCTCAGCCCTCATATACATGAAAGTGTTGAATTCCCTTTTATCCTAATACCTCTTCCAGATCTTCAACAAATGCAGCAATTCTGATGTATTTTATACTGCCACTTTTATTTATATGTGTACCTGTGAGTCGTAGAATTTGGTTTCTGCATTTAGTTGCAGTCTATGTAATATAACTAATACTCTGCTTATACACTTGTTCTGAGTATGTCATCAGTTTGGCTTCACACTTGACTGGTATTTTGGTAAACCTGACAATTTAGGAACACAGTGATGCCTCCTTGGACTCTGGAAGGTATTGCTATCTTGTATCCTAGCAGCATGATTTCTGATGAGAAAACACTGATTCTGGTTCACTTCAGTGTCGAAGATGTTACTCTATATTGTGGCTTAAAAACAGTCTGCTGTGTTCATCCCTTATTTTTATTTATGTAGTATCCTGCCACAAACAGGCAGGTTGGTTAAATGTAAGGGCTGTAGTTTAGGAACAAATTCCCAGAGGAGCTCTTATATGTGAGCTGCCACATGTCATCATGACAGGTATATGGAGTAAAAATAAATCTTAACAAGAAAATGTGCTTGCTCTAACCTAAATCTCAGATTTCTCTTGTGTTTAAGGCACCAGATTCACACTTATCCCCCTGCCTTTACTTGATTGATGGAGTAATATCTTCCATCTGTTTTCCTTTAGTTGTCAGACGTTCTTGACTATTTCTGAATATTACCTCCAAATTCATATTTTCTTCCCTTCTTAGAATCTATAATTGGCTACTAGAATTTATAGATTTTTGTTTATGGACACTATTTTGCTCTTCAATATTGACTGTGTATTCTTGTTATGCATATTAAGTGAGAATTTATGTAAAGTTTTTGTTTTCTTTTCAGCCGCAAAAAAAGCTGTGCCCAAGCTCATCTAACATCTGCCCTGTCAAGTGTCCATAATGCTAGGCCCTGAGGGAGGTGAGGGCTTTGTGGTCAAACTCCGTGGCCTGCCCTGGTCCTGTTCTATTGAGGATGTGCAGAACTTCCTCTCCGACTGCACAATTCACGATGGGGCTGCAGGTGTCCATTTCATCTATACTAGAGAGGGCAGGCAGAGTGGTGAGGCTTTTGTTGAACTTGAATCAGAAGATGATGTGAAAATGGCTCTGAAAAAAGACAGGGAAAGCATGGGACACCGATACATTGAGGTGTTCAAGTCCCACAGAACCGAGATGGATTGGGTATTGAAGCACAGTGGTCCCAACAGCGCCGATAGCGCCAACGACGGCTTCGTGCGGCTTCGAGGACTCCCATTTGGATGCACAAAGGAAGAAATTGTTCAGTTCTTCTCAGGGTTGGAAATCGTGCCAAACGGGATCACATTGCCTGTGGACCCCGAGGGCAAGATTACAGGGGAGGCTTTTGTGCAGTTTGCCTCGCAGGAGTTAGCTGAGAAGGCTCTAGGGAAGCACAAGGAGAGGATAGGGCACCGGTATATTGAGGTGTTCAAGAGCAGTCAGGAGGAAGTCAGATCATACTCAGATCCCCCTCTAAAGTTCATGTCTGTGCAGCGGCCAGGCCCCTATGACCGGCCTGGCACAGCCAGGAGGTACATAGGCATTGTGAAGCAAGCAGGCCTGGATAGGATGCGGCCTGGTGCCTACAGCACCGGCTATGGGGGCTATGAGGAGTACAGCGGCCTCAGCGACGGCTACGGCTTCACCACTGACCTGTTTGGGAGAGACCTCAGTTATTGTCTCTCCGGAATGTATGACCACAGATATGGAGACAGCGAGTTCACAGTGCAGAGCACCACCGGCCACTGCGTCCACATGAGGGGGCTACCATATAAAGCTACCGAGAACGACATTTACAACTTCTTCTCTCCACTCAACCCTGTGAGAGTTCACATTGAGATTGGCCCAGATGGAAGAGTGACGGGAGAAGCAGATGTTGAGTTTGCCACTCATGAAGAAGCTGTGGCGGCTATGTCTAAAGACAGAGCCAACATGCAGCACAGATACATAGAACTCTTTTTGAATTCGACCACAGCATCCAGCAACGGGGCATATAGCAGCCAGGTGATGCAGGGCATGGGGGTATCAGCAGCCCAGGCCACTTATAGTGGCCTGGAGAGCCAGTCAGTGAGTGGCTGTTATGGGGCCAGCTACAGCGGTCAGAACAGCATGGGCGGATACGACTAGTTTTGTAATATTTGAGTTATTTCAATCAAATTTTCACAGGCAGCCAACAAGCAGTGAAGAGCAGTTGTAACTCTAGAGGAAGCTGTGGGACCCATTTTGCACCATGAGTTTGTGAAATCTGGATTAAAAAATTACCTCTTCAGTGTTTTCTCATGCAAACTTTTCTTCTAGCATGTGATATTGAGTAAACTAAAACTATTTTCAGCTTTTCTCAATTAACATTTTGGTAGTATACTTCAGAGTGATGTTATCTGAGTTTAAGTAGTTTAAGTATGTTAAGTGTGGGTCTTTTACACCACATCACAGTGAACACACTGGGGAGACGTGCTTTTTGGAAAATTCAAAGGTGCTAGCTCCCTAATTCAAAGAAATATCTCATGTTTGTTCATTCTAGTTTATATTTTCATTTAAAATCTCTTAGGTTAAGTTTAAGCTTTTTAAAAGTTAGTTTTGAGAATTGAGACACAATACTAATACTGTAGGAATTGGTGAGGCCTTGACTTTCTTTGTACTGTGATTTCCTTTTGGGTGTATTTTGCTAAGTGAAACTTGTTAAATTTTTTGTTAACTAAATTTTTTTCTTAAAATAAAGACTTTTTCACAATGACTGGCACAGATTATCTACTTAGCAAAAGGTAGCAAAATGACATGGTAGCTGAAGAGAATTCATTTTATCCCTCATGTATTTTAGTGTGAATTTTTCAATTTCATAAACTCCCTTATATTCTTATAATGAGGCTAAATAAAAGTCTAATAAAAATGATAAGTATGTGAATGGTGGAAATGGTGACTAGAAACACATCCCAGGAAGTTATGAAGTAGACATCTACAGCCCCAGCCACCTGTAACTTGTATGCACTGTTCCTAACCCATTTATTGTATGCTATGCTCTTCATTGATGCTGGAATGACATCCACTGTTCATAGCTAGAGAGCTCTAGTTTTGAGTGCTACATTGTGAGGCCGTTAACTACTGTTTATTTCTGATCTTTATAAAACTGCTGGCCAGGTGTGGTGGCTCACACTTGTAATTCCAGCACTTTGGGAGGTGAGAGAATTGCTTGACCTCGGGTTCAAGACCAGCCTGAGCAACATGGCAAGACCTCATCTCTACAGTAAATCAAAAAATGAGCTGCGTGTGATGGTACATGCCTGTGATTTCAGCTACTTGGAAGGCTCACTTGAGCCCAGCAGGTTGAGGCTGTAGTGACTTCGGTGTGCCACAGCACTCCAGCCTGGGCAACAGTGGGACTACAAAAAAAAAAAAAAAAAAAGTTTTGATTTGAACATTTTTATGCTCATGATTTCTATAGGATACATTCTGGATACACTGGATTGTCAGTGACAGGTGATTATATGTACATATTCTCAAATAGACCTGTTTCCAAATTGCTCCTGAAATGTACCATTTACCTAGCAGTGGAAGACTGTCCAAGTTCCAGGCAGTTCTGCATACAGTATTACCATCATTTTAAACCTTGTGCACTAAATTTCAAGCCACGACTTTAAAATGGGAACAGAGTTTAACATTTTATGCAAGAACATTTTGCTGGCTACCATTGGTATTCTTCCAACTTTATTTTCCTTGTCTTCATAGCAATACACTGTAACCTCAATGTTCTAATTCTACCAATTTAAGGGTAAATAAGTTTCTGCTTTTAAAAGAGAAAATACTCTTGGAGAAACTCCTGAAAGTATTATTAAAAATGAGGTCTGTACAGGTATACTAGAGTCGTAATTCATACTTTTCTGACCTTATTGGGCCCAGCTTACCCACAGGCCTTTATTCTAGTGTTCTGTATCCTCAGGTGGCCTGAGGCAGCAGCATTACCCAGAAATACCAGGGGAAAAGTAACAATGAGCAGCACTAGGAACACCAGGTAGCATAAGGGAATTGTAGTGAGATGGGTGGGAGCTGTCCCTGTTGTAGGCCAAGTTCCAGAGTTTTCACCCATCCCATGGGCCCATCATACTGGTAGTGACAAGACCCCATAGGGAATTAGAGGTCCACAGGTTATGGAGAAGACAAGAAGTCCAGGTGGGCTTCTGTGTGGAGGCTTGTGAGATGACTTAATGGTGGGGCCTGGAATGCCATGAAGATGACCTCAGATCTCAGGGTGGGTATTTGGGGAGTACCTTCACACCCCTATAAGTCTGCTAGGTTTTGGATGCATGTATGGAAGCAGTGGACTTCAGCAATTTGGGGATGGGAAAACGGGAAATGAGCTCCCAAAGTGACCCTGAAGTCTGGGCCTGCAGTAGTGGCCCCCACTTAGGAGACCACACCTGGCTGTGCCTGGTGACTCAAGACTGTAATCCCAGCACTTTGGGAGGCAGAGACGAGAGGATTACCTGAGTCCAGAGGTCTGAGACCAGCCTGGACAACTTGGTTAGACCTTGTTACAGTAAATAAAAATTAGCCAGGCTGGTGGCATGCACCTAGCTGCCTGGAAGGTTGAGGCAGAAGAATCGCCCCAGCCCAGCAGGTCAAGGCTGTGATGGCCATGAGTGTGCCGTTGTACTCCAGCCTGGGTGGCAGAACAAGACTCCGACTCAAAAAAAAAGGCCACATCAACCATGAGGTAGGTGATTCCTAAGATTTACCCACATCTTATGGTCTGCCCCACATTTCATTGTTTCCTGAATGGGTTGGCAAACTAACCCATGAGCCAAATCCAGCCGATCACCTGTTGTATGTCTGATAAGCTAAGAATAGTTCTACAAGTGCATTAATTTGCAGTCCATCTGATGAGCAGGAACTAATTAACATGACCTTTCCCAAGATGATTATTAGTAGACCTGAAATACAAGAAATTGGGCTTCATTTTTGGAGTTTCACTAGAAGAAATGTGAAACAATTTTGTCTCTTGGCCTGCAAAGCCTGAAATATTTATCTGGCCTCTTAAAGTTTGCGGGCCCCTGTTAGAGGAAACGTATCAGAACTGAGCATGGCACAGAGGGAACAGTACTTAACTTCAAAAGGAAGTGGACACCAAAGACTCTTGAAGATGCCATAAGGTTTAGTATAAAACTAGATTGAGGTTGGACACAGTGGCTCACACCTCTAACCCCAGCACTTTGGGAGGCCGAGGTGAGAGAATTACCTGAGTCCATGGGTTTGAGACAAGCCTGGGCAACTTGGTGAGACCTCATCTCTACAATAAATGAAAAAATGAGCTGAGTGTGGTGGCGCATGTCTGTAGTTCCAGATATTTGGAGGCTGAGGCAGAAGGATCACTTGAGCCCAGCAGGTCAAGGCTACAGTCGCTGTGCCGCTGCACTCCAGCCTGGGTAACAGTGAGACTCTAAAAACAAACAAAAAACAACGGGCATTTCTTGTGACTCGACTTAAATACTGAGCAAAAAACTCAATTTATCTTATTCTACTAGAATCATTCAGGATTGGAGACAATGGCCTACAGGAGGGAGATGATGCTGTGTTGAAAAGGGTCAGAGGACTCTGACATGCTAGCAAAGATTGAATAAAGCTAGAGAAAACACCAGCTAAGAATGTCCCTAGGAAGGACCCCAAGAACACTCTGCTAAATAAGTAATGGGCTGGTGAGAGGCAACAGCATTTTTAGTTTAATGAAAGTGCCTTGCAGCCAGGATTGGCAATAGGAAAAAATAAGGATAAAGAAGATAAGACTCCAGGCAGTTGTAATCAGCATGATTGCTGTAGTGGCTAGTGAGGAACCTTGACCAGCCCAGATCTGTGGCAAAGGCAAGTAGACCTGTGTGTCCAGGGGCGACACATGAGGACCAGCTAGTAAGAGCATTGCTTGGCTTAAATAGCCAAGGAAGAGGAGTAACTGGAAGCAAAAAGCTGATGTTGGCTATTTATATTGAACATCAGGATCTTGTCCTGTTTATTTCCAGAACAGAACCAGGGCTCATATCCAGAGGTCAGTGGAAGTGGAAGAAAAACTTGCTGAGCACGGTGGCTCATGCCTGTAATCCCAGCACTTTGGGAGACCGAGATGAGAGGATTGCCTGAGCCCATGGGTTCAAGACCAGCCTGGGCAACTTGGCGAGACCTCATCTCTACAATAAGAAAAAATTAGTCGGTCGTGGTAGTGCATGCCTGTAGTTCCAGTTACTTGGAAGGCTGAGGTGGAAGGATTGCCTGAGCCCAGCCGGTCAAGACTGCGGTAGCCGTGAGCATGCCACTGCACTCCAGTCTGGGCAACAAATTGAGACTCCAGCTTAAAAAAAAAAGGAAGAAGAAAACATTTCTCTCCAGGGCCAGGAGAGAGGGAATGACCCATCTCTTGAGGGCTGTTTGATACAGAGTCTGAGTTGGCATGGGGACCAAAAATGCCATCACGGCCCTTTTGTTAGGATGGGAGCACAGGAAGGCTGCGTGACAGATTAATTCCCATGCCAAGTCACCTCATCGTGGGTTAAATGAGTCTGCAGACCGTCAGGTTTTCTCCCCGAATGAGTTATTGGAAAGGAGTATCCTAAGAAGCTAACCCCACACTGGATCCCTGGCTTGTGTGAGAGCTACAATGGTAGGAAAGGCCGAGAAAAAACCTTCAAATGGCACTACCCATCCAGGACAGCAAATAAGGAGAGGTGCTGTAATATGTGCAATGTGTGAAGTGAGGGCCACGTGGTGGAGAAAAAGGCAAGCATCATAATGCCCTTTTAATTTACTTGTCTGGCGTGGGCAAAAAATCAGATGAAACCTCACAGATGATAGTGAATGACCAGGAACTTGTCATTGCTCCAACCATAGCTGCAGTCTTTACGAGTTGTAGATCAATGAGCCTCTGACACTTTGGAAGCTACTGATATGATGAATCATTCCTTTCAATCAGCATCAAATAAGATAGTAAAAAAATATTTAACCTTCTTATAAACATGGACAGCAAAACACAATCTTTTTCTTTCTCCAGGTTTCTGTTAACTCCTCTGCTCTCTGTTACAGTAGAAGCTGAAGAGACATTGATCACCTGGCAGTGATTTGTCATATTTGTGGCATACTAATTGGACTTGGTAGGGAGGAAGCAACAAAGGAGTCTGGATGCCCTGGGGTTCATGTGTGCTAGAAGGAGGAAGGATGCATGGTTCTGCCATTAGGGAAGTGATTGGGTCTATAGTCTTGGTCAGGGATTGGCAAATTAGGGTCCATGGACCTAATCTTACCTGCCGTCAGTTCCTGTAAATAAAATTTTGTTGGCCTACATCCATGTCCATTTATTTACATATTGTCTATGGCTGCTCTTGTGCTACAATGGGCAAAGAGCTGAGTACTTGCATCAGTGACCATATGATCTACAAAATGTAAAAAAGTTTACTATCTGATTCTTTGCAGGAAATGTTTGCCAACCTGTGGCCTTGGGAGAAACTGGGGCATTTTCTCCAAGGTAAAGTTCAGGATATTGCATCTTGTAACTTTTTTTGTTTTGTTTTGTTTTGAGTCAGAATCTCATTCTGTCGCCAAGGCTGGAGTGCAGTGTCATGCTCATGGCCACCACAGCCTCGACTTCTGGGCTCTGGTGATCATTTTGCCTCAGCCTTCCAGGTAACTGGAACTATAGGTGCATACCACCA